TCCATTGCCCTTTTATCGATTGGGATCTTAGTGTTTTTTACTGACATAGCTTTAAGATCTTTATGTATTAAGGTATTAATTCATATAGATTATATGTCATTCAGCAAATATTTTTCCCTGAGTGTTTTCTTTTAATTTTTTGTATATAGACATTCTATAATTTTTAAACTTACAAGTTCTCCCATCCTCTTGTATACTTTAATATTCAGTTCCATTTATTTTACTGTTTATTTGTTGGAATTTTTTCTTAAACTTCTGAATTCCATCTAGAATTAGAGTATCTTCTCAATTCTTTCTTACACTCCATTGATTTGCTTGTTTTTGTACTTCACCCCCTTCCTCCCATCTGTTGGCTTTTTTAAAAATAAGAGGTTTAATTTTTAGAATTATATACAATAAACATTAAACATTAAAAGAGAACAATCGCCCTGGCCAGTTTGGCTCAGCGGTTGAGCATCGGCCTGCGGACCAGAGACTCCTGGGTTCGGTTCCTGCTAGGGGCACGTACCACAAAAAATAATAATAATAATAATAAAACAAAAGAGAACAATCAACATTTTTCACTTCACCCATAATCATTGATTTTATGATTTCTGTAGCAGGCATATCAAATTTTAGGGAGTGTATTTGCTTCTATATTTAACTTCCTAGAACTTCACAGTTCTGCTTACTGCTTGTGTTGAATCTTTTTTTTTTTTTTTAATGTAGATAATTTTTTATTTTTCAATTACAGTTGACATACAATATTATATTAGTTTCAGGTGTACAACTCAGTGATTAGACATTATATAACTTACTAAGTGATCACCCTGACAAATCTAGTACCCATCTGACACCATGCATAATTATTAAAATGTTATTGACTATATTTTCTATGCTATGGTTTACCCCCATGACTGTTCTGTACCTACCAATTTATACTTCTTTAATTCCTTCACCTTTTCACCCATCACCCCGACTCCCTTCTCATCTGGCAACCATCAAAATGTTCTGTGTATCTGTAAGTCTCTTTCTGTTCTGCTTGTTCATTTATTTTGTTTTGAGATTCCACATATAAGTGAAATCATGACATTTCTTTTCCTTTGTCTGACACTTATTTCAATCAACACAATGCCCTCTAGGTTCATTCATGTCAATGCAGATGGCAAGATTTTATTCTTTTCTATAGCTGTCATATTCCATTGTATATTTGCACCACATTTGCTTTACCCGTTCATCTATTGAAAGACACTTGTGTTGCCTCCAGGTCTTAGCTATTGTAAATAATGCTGCAGTGAACATATGGATATATACGTCTTTTTGATTTAGTGTTTTGGATTTCTTTGGGTATATACCCAGAAGTATATACTGTGTCCTTCTTTATCTCTTGTTATATAGCCTTTGTTCTGAAGTCTATTTTGTCTGGAATAGGTATTGCTACCCCAGCTATTGTTTATTTGCATTTTCATGAAATATCTTTTTCTGTTCCTTTATTTTCAGTCTGTGTGTGTCTTTCAATATGAAGTGAGTCTCTTGTAGACAGTATATGTAAGCCTTACCTTCTATACCTACCTCTCTGATTGTATCCTTGTCTTAAAAAATATGTTTTTCTGATTTGAAAAGTAATACATTGTAGAAAGTTCAGATGATACAGAAAAATATGAACAGAATAATTCCCTGGAATTTTACCATCCATTAGTAGCCACATTTTGGTGTGTTTTTTTATTCCCTATACAATCAATTTTAATACACTTTTTTTTTATTTAATTTTTTTCCCATCACCATTTATCCCCCCATACCTTCTTCCACCTCCACCCATCCCCTCATTCCTACAATTACCACTGTAACCTGTGTCCATGAGATCTTTCTCTCTTTAAAAAAATTTTTTTTCTTTATTGATATTAGAGAGAGAGATAGAAACATCAATGAGAGAGAACATCGATTAACTGCCTCCTGCATGTCCCCCAGTGGGGATCAGGCCCACAACCTAGGCATGTGCCCTGACCGGGAATTGAACCAGCGACCTCTTGGTGCATGGTCAATGCTCAACCATAGAGCCACACTGGCAGGACAGTTCTTTCTCTTTTTATTTTCAATTCAATCCTACTACCCCTACCACAGCTATATGCCTATTTTCTGTCTGTGAGTCTTTCTCTATTTTGCTTGTTAGTTCACTTCATTCATTAAACTCCACATATGAGTGAAATCATATGACACTTTTCTTTCTCTGGCATGTTTCACTTAGTGTAATGTTCTCCAGGTCCATCAATGCTGTAGCAAAGGGTAAAACGTTCTTTTTTACAGCTGAGTAGTATTCTATTGTGTAAATGTACCACAGTTGTTTTATCCACTCGTCCGCTGGTGAACATTTGGACTGCTTCCAAATCTTGACTATTGTAAATAATGGGGCAATGAACATAGAGGTGTATATATTCCTTTGAATTAGTGTTTCAGGTTTCTCCAGCTAAAATCCCAGAAGTGGAATTGCTGGGTCATAAGGCAGTTCCATTTTTAATGTTTAGAGGTAACTCCATACTGCTTTCTACAGTGGCTGTACAAATCTGCATTCCCACCAACAGTACACAGGGGTTCCCTTTTCTCCACATCCTCACCAATAGTTGTTGTTTATTGAATTATTGACGATAGCCATTATGACAGGTGTGAGGTGATAATCTTACTTTGGTTTTAATTTGCATTTCTCTGATAATTGGTAACATTGAGCATCTTTTTATCTGCCTATACTTTTTACACAAACAAAATTGGGATTATACTCTATATATGGTTTTATTACGTTTTCACATAATAGTTAATCATGAGTGTCTAACAAATATTTATTTTGAGTTCCAAGCACCTGGCATGGTTTTTACACATAGTGATCCAGCTGTAAAATAGGAATGATACTCCTCAAATAAGTAACCGATGGTAGTGCTGCTATTAATAATAGTAGTTAACATTAATATTTATAATGTTCATAGTTAATATTGACTGTCACAACTCTAAATATATTACTTATATAATTTCAAGATTATATAAGAAAAGTTAAAAAAACTCCATGAGTTATATGTTATTTTTTCCATTTTGTAGATGAAGAATGAGGCATAAAGTAATTTAATAATTTTCCCACAGACTCCTTCATAAGATGGGTGGGCTGAATATGATCCTGGATCTTTTGATTTCAGAGCTTTTACTTTTTACCAAACCCTTACACTAAATGTTAACCCCCTAGTGCTAACTTGGAGACATTTTTCTGCGCTCACCATTTGTATGCCCAGCAGAGCTCTCCACTTTGTCTCAAGGTCTTTTGTGTAGCATTAGAGTTCATTGCAGGACGCTTTGTAGTGCAGTTAAATCTGTGCTGCCTGTCTGTCCTTTTAGAAAAGCTAAAATACTTACTAAATCATGCATGTTGCCTTCCAAGTCATGCTAACCTTTAATTCTAAATGGGATAATGTCATTTTGATCTATCTACAGATTTCTCTCTAACTTTATCAATATTTATTCATTCAGTAACTTAAAATCCCGTTGAATTTATTTAGTACATAGAACTTTCTTTTTAAAACTTTTACTTTATGTCACATTCCAAAGGGAAGAGAAAATGAGTGTCTTTTTAGTGGTAAAAATACCATATATGACTTGGAAGTCCATAGATTATGTTTGTGTTGGCACTTTGTCTTTTTTTTTTTTTTAATTCATGATTGTCTGATTTCCATTTCAAAATACTCTGTGTTGAAAGTAATAACTATAAGTCTGCTTGCATTTGGGGGGGGGGGGTGTTTTGTTTTTTTCAAGGCTAATTTCTCAGTATAAAGGATAATTCTCCATTTAAAAACCAAAATCATCTCCCTGGAGTGTTTGGATCAGCAGTTAGAGCGTTGGCCTGCCAACCCAAAGAGTCCTTCTGAGGTTCAATTCCTGTCAAGGGCACGTACCTCAGTTGTGGTTCAGTCCCTGGCTCAGATCTTACGGGAGGCAACCAGTCGATGTCGTTCTCTCACATCAATGTTTCTCTCTCTCTCCCTCCCTCCCACTCTGCCTGAAAAAATAAAAATAGAAAAATATCCTTAGCTGAGGATTTTAAAAAAAAATCATCTTTTGATGTTTTACAAGACAAACTCATGAGAAAAGTGGTCTTGAAAAGATTTATCTTGTTTTACATGAGTAAGCAGTTTCTCAAAACTTGACCAGAGTCTTATAAAGGTCTGCTTTGGAGGAAAGGGACGTTATAAGGATACATTGAGACTGGAATCTATTTTGAATAATAGTTCTCAAAAGGTTAAGAATAAGGAATGATGGCCCTGGCCGGTTTGGCTCAGCGGTTAGAGCATCGGCCTGCGGTCCGGAGAGACCCAGGTTCGGTTCCCGCTAAGGGCACGTACCTCGGTTGCAGTTTGTCCCCGGCCCTGGTTGGTTGTGCGGGTGGCAGCCACTCGATGTGTCCCTTCACGTCGATGTTTCTCTCTCTCTCTGTTCCTCTCTCTCCCTCCCTCTCTATCTGAACAAAAAATGTCCTCGGGTGAGGATAAAAAAAGAAAAAAAGAATAAGGAATGATGGTTCCTTAAATGAAAGGAGGGGGACATCAAAGCTCTTTATTAGTACTTACTTCTGTGGTTGTATCATTGAAACTCCCATGGTTAGCACAGTGCCTTTGCCTGTAGAATATACTAGCTATTGAATGAATGTTGAAAGTGATCTGAAGTTACTTGAAATTTGTTTAATAAAGCAGTGCAATGACAAAACAGTGTTTTTTATTTGTAATTCTTTTTTCAATTAGTGTTTGCCTGTGTTCTCATAACAAACACGTTAAAGGGATTTTTGTTACTCATAGTAGGAATGGAGTTTCTTTAAAGCTTGTCAATTGAGTATGAGTATTTTGACTGTGAAATCCGGATATACATTTGTTATATACCTAATGAATATAGTAAGTTTTGGCCCAATTTTAAAGTAGAGAAGCATTTTCCTTCTTTGTAAATCATGAGCTAGCATGTCCTTAATACATTTGTGTTCTCTCTGTCTTATTCAGGAAAGCAGTGTTTCTTAGTCCTGCGTCAGCAGCAATTTAATGTCCAGGCTCTTGTGGCAGTGGGAGACCATGCAAGCAAGCAGATGGTTAAATTTGCTGCCAAGTAAGTAAGCAATTATATCCTGTTGTCAGAATAAACAATGGTGGGAACCAAGACTCCCGGGAGTTTGGACCATTTTCATACATTAACATCAATGCTCCGTTTGTTTAAAATTTTAGTTATTTAAATTGTCGGTTTAGTGTTGCTGAATACATTAAACTTACAAAAGAGAAAATATGGAGCATAGGCTTGAAATTCTTTGGGAACTGCTGAAGCAGCACTCTCTACAGACAAGTCATATTTACTTTCAAGTAGAGTAACAAAAAGCCTGGCAGCCTAGACATAGCAAAGCAACTTTATTTTGTTGTGTTTGTGGAGCTTCATTTCCTCCCTCCCTCCCATCAGTTTCTGATTTGCATATTAAGCAACAAGTTTTCTAACTGAATAAAAGTATATAAAAGAATGGAGTTTTGCAAATAATCCCCTCCTGAAGGAAGTAAAACAGACATTATACCATGTTATACCTTTTAAGTTTGACACACAAGGGTTTTAAAAAAAAAGTAAAAATTACTTTTCTCCCCCCAAAAGTCTTGCTGTCTGGCTCAGAGTTCCTGTAGAGGCAAGTTGTTTTGTTCAGTTTTACAAGAAGTGGGATATAGAGATAGTGTAGTGGTTGTACATGCTGCAGCTTTAAGTCGGTAATCGTTGGTGATACATGGGTAGTTTTGTTTGTATGTTTTTCTCAATTTAATTGGAATTTAATTTCCCGATAATGATCAAAGAAGACTTGGAAAATGGGCGATCTTTACATTTTAAGTAATAGAGTATTTTATAGGCGTAAATGTTTTTTAAAGAAAGAAATTCAGTCTAGAGTAAATATTCTATTGATTTTTATGTCTGTTCTTTAGATGTATGCTTTCAAAGATGGGTTAATATAGATAGAATTATTTATTTTAAAACTAGAAAGAAACTAAAAAATAATCTAATTTAACACTCTAATTTATGTTTGGGCCCTCCCTGACTTCCCCAGCACAGTATTTTACATATAGTGGATGCTTAGCCACGGGTTTTGGTCTAGTGATTTATTTATCAAATTTAGATATATCTCATATCACAGTGTTTTAATGTAGTGGATGTTCAGCAACTGGTTTTGGTTTAGAGATGTATTTATCAAATTTAGTTTTATCGTATCATAGTGGTACTTATATTCTGCTTTAAAAACTCCAATGCCGCCCTGGCCAGTTTGGCTCAACAGTTAGAGCATTGGCCCATAGACCAGTGAGTCACGGCTTCTATTCCGTCTGAGGGCACGTACCTCAGTTGCGGTGTCCACAGCGCTGGTCAGGTCCTAGTCAGGTCGTGAGGGAGGCAACCAGTCGATGTGGCTCTATGACATCAATGTTTCTCTCTGTCTCTCCCTCCCTCCCTCCCTCCCACTCTATTTGATGATAAATACAAAAGTATCCTCAGGTGAGGGACAAAAATAAATACTCTTCACCCTCTTACAGAAAAAATAAATAAATAAATAAATAAATAAATAAATAACCCTGGCCGGTTTGGCTCAGCAGTTAGAGCATCAGCCTGCGGTCCAGAGAGACCCGGGTTCGGTTTCCACTAAGGGCATGTACTTTGGTTAGTTTGTTCCCAGCCCTGGTTGGGTTGTGCGGGAGGGAGCCACTCGATGTGTCCCTTTCACGTCGATGTTTCTCTCTCTCTCTCTCTCTCTCTCTCTCTCTCTCTCTCTCTCTCTCTTTTTCTTCCTCTCTCTCCCTCCCACTCTTATCTGAACAAAAAATGGAAAAGTGTCCTCAGGTAAGGATAAATAAATAAAAATAAATACTCCAATGCCATTAATTACATCAGTTCACTGAACTCAATATTTATTAGTACTACTAGTATAGTAACCCCATTACTTTCTATGTCCCAATCATGCTGCAGAGACTGCCACTTTCATCTCTTCTACCTGTGTCTTCTGGTATTAGGTTTGCTGGTTTTCATTTCATAATCTCTAAAGGTTTGTGCTTGTGGATTGTGTATATCATCTAGCCTTTTAAGGTCCATCTGTGTCCTATAAGGTGGGGCATAAATAAGCCTGGTCCCTGGAAATAAACTTTGTGTAGAGACCCTTCTTATAAAAAAAAAAAGCCCCTGGAAACCACAGACATACATGCTAAATTATATTTAGTAAACTGAAAAATACTGGGAGAAGGTAAATTTCAAATCAACAAATAACTTTATTGGCTTTTGTCTTTTATATTTTAATTGGTTTTGAAAACTAATATATGAAGATGACAGTTTTATTTAGAGTATATTTTTCCATCAAACTGCATTGTAACCTCAGTATTAAGTTTCTGAAGAAAAGATTCTAGTCTAAAAATCTTTTTAAAACCCCACTTACCCTTAATATTTACTAAGAGGCATTGTACTAACAAGAGGACAGTCGATTCATTTGGTGTCTTTAGAAGTAAACACATCAAAATAGTCCACAAATAATTATTTATTATTGTTTGGATCGTCTCAGAAACTCCTGGGACTTGACTAACAGCAATTGACCATATCAAATATAACCAAAGCACTAGCTGGAAGAGCTATTTGCAAATGGTCTCTCAAATAGAACTTAGTTCACTAATGCCCTCATGATACGTAAACTAAAGAAAGGCTTTCAGCTGAGTGGGGTAGTGTAAGGAGGATGTTTCTTTTAGGCAAGAAAAGAATTCGGATAATCAGCTTGGGTTTCATAATCCTGAAGTTGAACTCGATCAAGATCTAGATGTAATTCAGGCTTAATTAAGTTGTAACTACATTATTCTCTTTAAAACAAAGAACATGTTACTATTTTTAGTCCCCTAAAAATGGACTGTATATAATTAGTAATTTGTGGGAAAAGATGTTTTCATAATAGAATTGTTACAAATTATAAAGCTTCTGACTAGTTATATACAGGTAAATGGAATCGATTTTATATAATAAGCTTAACATGTATACTTAGGTTATAATTATTTAACTTGGGCACTACTCATAGGTAAAGTATCTAGCCTGAATAATTAAGAGTAAATGTATTAATAGCTTTTGCTACATTGTTTTGTTGTTGTTTTTTTAAAAAAAGAAAATTCCCTTGACTAAGACCCTCTGGTAAAAAATGGTGAGTTTTTAATTTTTGTGGTTGGTTGATAATTTTCTTAGGAACATAATTTTGTGCTTCTGATATATCAGTAAGCTTGTCTTTTTTATATGATTTTAGACTACTTCTAATGTAGTTCAGAAATCAGTGTATGACCTCAAAGTACCAATTTTTAAAGAAGAAATTCAAGAACAGAAAAATGTTTACTTTGAAAATGACCTGCTCTATTCATTAATAATAATAATAATAATAATAAATTAAATGAAATAGTAACGTAAATTATGAAGAACTTTCAGATCTTATTTAGGAAAAAGATTTGTTGGTATTTTCCTTTCATCCTTCAAAGTCCTTTTTCTAAAAATTCTCTTTACTGGCTAGACTTAACGTAAACAGTGTATTTTATTTTAAATGGGTACATTGGATTCACTGTGAAAACAACAATTAAGGTAGTTACATACATTTGTCTTTGAGGTCACTTGCTCTGGCGTTGTTTGGTGAGCTGGCACTTCTATAAAATAAGAACTTAAGGTGTGAGGTTATTGTTAAATTATAAAATACAATAAAAAGAATTTCCTTTATTTGACATTAACAGATGAAAAGAACTTTTGTAATTTGCTGTGGTCTAACTATATTAACTTATTACAAAATTCTTAACTGTGGCTCAAATGGACTCTGTTTTGAAGCATGAAGGATAATCCTCCTTTCAGATATGGTACCATAATAATAGTAATACTATAATTATTTACTGATATTTTTTAAAAATATTTTAGAGTAAGGGCTTCTGTTTGTGAGTTATTTTCTAAGTGAGTTTTCTAAGGTATTTGGTTTTAATTTTTTTTTTCTCTAGTGTTCTTTATTATTTCTGCCACATGTTAGTTGGGTTTAAACAAAAATAGTTCAATAATTTATTAAACTGATATTTCTTGATGCATATATGCTCTTTCTGCCCCCTCCTTAAGACCATACTTGCCAGAAGTTTCTTTTTAAGTGCTGTTTTTATCTAAAACCTTTAATGGCTTTCTATTTCCAACCATGTCCATTATTAATTCTGCCTGCTGGTTCCTTCATTACAATGTTATTTGTCAATATACATTCTTCCCAATATACATTCTTCAGATTGGGCAGACTCTGAATCTGCAATAGCCTCTCCTTACTTTACTGTTTGTTTTGTTTTATTTTTGTGTGTTTGGGGAGTTTTAATTTTAATCTTCACCCAAGGATATTTTTCCATTGATTTTTAGATAGAATGGAAGGGAAGAAGAGAGAGAGGGAAAGAAAGAAAGAAACATCGATGTGATAGAGATGCATTGATCAGTTGCCCTCCCACATGACCTGGGCCTGGGGATTGAACCTGCAACCCCGACAAATGCCCGTGACCGGGAATCAAACCATTGACCCTTTCTCCTGAGGTGGACGCTCTAACTGCCGAGCCAAACCAGCCAGGGCATTACTTTACTGCCTATTTTATTTTATTTATTTTTTCCTTTATTAATTTTAGAGAGAGAGAAAGGGAGAGGGAGAGAGATAGAAACGTCGATGACAGAGAACATTGATTGGCCTCCACCTGCATGCCTCCCATTGGGGATTTGGCCCACATGTTGGGCCTGTGCCCTGACAGGAATCAAACCAGCGACCTCTTGGTGCACGGGTCAGTGCTCAACCACTGAACCAAACCAGCTGGGCTTTACTACTTATTTTAAATGCTTTGGCTTTATTCATTAAATCCTCACTCTTTGTCACTTAGTTTAAGCCCATGTCCTTCATGATCCTCATTGATTAGTTTCTCTTTTCATTTCTTTGGGGTCCACAGATATGTCCTTAAGAGGCTGGAAGTTTTAAATTTTGGTGTACATTTTTAATATTCTTTTGGAGTTACATAGGGCATTATTCTATATAATTTTAAAGCCTAACTTAGAGAATAATTGTGTGAATTTAGTGCCTC